ATACGCCTTCCAATACACGATTTGATAACTATGACCTTGGGTAGTTAGTGAGCCACAAAGTGTTTTTCCCATTTGAATTTTCCTACATTCATGGTTTGGTGTTTGTTTTTTAGCCCCACGTGCAACCCATGGTCCCACGTGAACGAAGGTGTTAAGAGGGCTTATATCCCATATCAAATAATTAGGACAACCAAATTTGGTCTATAATATATACTTAAGGGGCTACTCCACTTATTTTCAATTTTGTTTGGGTTGGATTCTCTAAAAGTAACCATCGTAAAAATAGTATGAAATAACACATTATACGAGGTGTTACTTTTTTTTTTTTCGCCCATTTGAAACAGACTATGCTTTAGGAGGTCTTCCCTGCTCCCTGGACTGGACATCTCTTCCTCACTTGCATAGACTGTTATTAAAATTCTGCTAGTTCTGGTTTTAGTTTGTCTTTTGGGAGAACGTTCTATTTGATTCCGTTTTATTCTGCAACTTCTTAAGAAATATTATCATCCATCTCAAAAAATAAAAAATCGTACCTAGGCGCAAACTCTGGTTTGTAGGGAAGGAATTGAATATTGAGAAGCTACACTAATTGACACAGCCCTTGTTACAATGGAAAATGCCGATGTTGGATCTTACACTAATTGTCTTTTTACCTTTTCTACACATGAAGTAGCTTCAACCTGTCTTTAGTTAGTAATCCTGCCACCAGAAATCATCAGCACTTACTTGTCATCATCAAGACAAGTAATGAAAAAGGGCACATAAAAATAAAGGTCAAAATATGGTTGCTATTACTGATTTGCAAAAATCATTTGAACTGTTTAGTTTCTAAAGCTTGGAAGTAGGGATGGCAGTGGACCGGAAAAAAATGGGTATTCGTCCAAATCCGTCCCGTTTGGACCGGGGATGGACTATACATATTGAACAGTGGACGTATACGAGGATACCCGTATAAACCCGTGCAAAGATGAAGGCGGGGATAGACTTACCCTTACCCCCGCCCCATCCCCGCCCCGTCCCATCCCCGTTATACCCGTTAAAAAATATATATATATATATATATAAATAAATAAATAAACTCCTGCCCCTCTCTAACGCATATGCATGTGTGTTTTAAATGGTGTTCCAGAGTATTATATTTCCCAGATTATTTTTTCTTTTTCAATTTTGCTCTTGCTGACTACCTATCGATATCAGTGGGCTACATTACCTACTAATGCTAATTTGTTGATGGATTGAATGCCATTTATTTCTATCATTTTTTCTGCCATACTAACCAAAAGATATACCATACTTATTGACGCCGAAATACACAGTTAGTTCTGTCCAATTGCATGATGAACATTTAAAAGTATCAATGACTAACTCCTAGAAATATTCACATAACTTGCTTGTTTAGATTTTAAATTTAAGAGTTTCAGATTCCAATATGTCTTGTGATCTTATGTTGGTTTTTGGGTTACGGTATAATATTGTTTTTTTTTTTTTAAATTTTGCATAACAAGTTAACATTGTAGCTTCTGGTTGTAGGGGCTAATAGCTCAACTCTCAAATTTCTTTTTGCAATATAATATAGGTTCACTGATGATGGGTTTCATGGTTGGTTGATCAAGAAGTTATTTGATTTTATGGGGCCTCTTAACTTACTTAGTGATTTATTATAGGACGGTTATATCAAATTCAAGTAGTATTTTGGACATTTGTTGTTTGTGTTATATTGGAATATGTTATGCTACATTATGTTGTGTTAGATTATTTAGAATATTGTTGAATTATTTAAAATGTTGGATTTATTTAGAATTTTGGGCTCGGGCTTGGACTTGGGCTGGTACGGGGGAAGCGGGGACTGTGGCGGGGATTAAAAATTTACCCGCGGACGGGGATGAGGATGAATATTATCTCGTTAACGGGGGTGGACTGGGGATAGATGGAGGTTTTTTAAGCGGGTACGGGGATGAAAACTATACTCCCCACCCTCGATTCGGTCCACTGACATCCCTACTTGGAAGCAATATAATTACCAAAGTTGGGGAGGAGGTGTAGCAACTTTTTTTTGCATGTTAGATGTCCTTCAGAAAACTTCTTTGATGATTCCCACACCTCTTTGACATAAATGATTGACGCTCCTAGCTTTCACGACTCATATGTGCTCATTTAATGACCAAGAAAAACCAGTATTGAAAATGAAAAAAATTTAAATTCTTAGTTAATAACTTAAATAAGTCTCTCTCTCTCTTTGTGTGTGTGCCTGTCTTTCTCTCTCTACAGTTTTTGTCCTGTACCCCATCTTTACCATTCTTGTCTCATTGTTGCCCTGCATCACCTAGCATGAACTCCAGTTGTTTGCCACAGTCTTCGATCACCTTCCTCCACTTATACCTTCGTCGTGCAATCCATTGTTTTTGCTTGTGGCAAAAGGGAGAATCATTTTAAGCATATTTTTCCATTGCTTCTGTGCTAAGGTCTTTGAATCGTGCATACTTTGGATTGAGGATACACCTCATTTATTGATATTATAAATAGTTGTTTGTTGAAACTGGAGTCATCTGATAAAGAAGGTGAAACTTGAATTGTTAGGTGTATTCTTTGTAAAGCTTTCTTTTGAATCTTTGTTGAATCAATATTCTTGCCCTACTTTGGCCCTTGTTTTGATGATATGGAAAGCTAAAGTGCCTATTAAAGTGCAAGTTTTCCCATGGACTATAGCACATGGTAAGTTTAACACTTATGATGTGCTTAAAAAAAGAAGGCCTCAATAGTTATTTTTCACCTCAACGTGTAAAGGTTATTGTGAAAGCATAGATAATTTATTTTTGCATTGCCTAGTTGCTTTGGCTATGTGGTATAAGTTGTTTCGAGTGGCGGATTTGAGTTGGGTGATTCCTACATCATCCATATCTTTTCTTTATTGAAGACATGAAAAACTTTGGATGGTCTGATAAAGGTGTGATTTTTGGGAATTATGATATTATTGCTATTTTTTGGGTTATTTGGAAGGAAAGAAATGCAAGAATCTTTGAAGATTGATATGAATCTTTGGAAGGCTTATGCGATCATATTCATGTCTTAACCTCATTTTGGACTTCAGTTTTTAGTGACTTTGGAGGAATTCTTTTTTTTTTTTTTTGCAATCATATCGGGACGGAGAGAGATTTGTGATTTATAGGCTTGTTAGGTAACTTTATTTCTTCTGTTCTTTTCTTCTTCTTATCGGTTGGATTTCTTATCCAACATTTTTGATGTAAATTTTTTTAATCATTAATATAAGCATTTGGTTTCTTATCAAAAAAAATTTTGAAGAATATTTTTATGCTACTAATTTTGGATAGTCAATTTCTACTGGTTGGTTATATCTACAACATTTCAACAAGTAAAGTTTTGGTAATATGTACGAATCCAGCTCAAACGAAGTAACTTCATTTCTCTACTACTGCATACCCCATTTGAAACTACCACCACCACCTGGCTTTGTCAGGTCACAAGAAAGCCATAAAATTCCAACTACTTTTACACACTCCCCATCCTTTTTTTTTTTTGGGACAAGAAACAAAACTTTAATTTAGTAATGATGCATCAAAGAGTAATATGGATGGACAAGATATTCATCAATGCTTTACTCATAAAATATTATGTATCACATGAGGGCGTCTAATATGCCAAGATATAAAAATGCTGAATGACAGCAAACTCCTTCCAAACGGAAGCCTACAATGACACCAAAAAATAGATGTGATCCCATAACCTACCTTCCTCTCTTCTTTATCTTCAAATATCCTTGAATTCATTTCTAACCATATTATGTATATTCTCATCTAGTGCCCACTACCATCACAGATCAAAAAAAGAATCACGAATACAATACAGTCAAACAAAACATGTGTGTGTGTAAATAGACACAATATCTGTTCTTTTGTAGAAACTAGAATTTGATTCCTATGTGTTGAAGTATAGATATTTAAGTTACATTCTCTTCTACAGTTTAGTTACTAGAATTTACTAAATCACTGATGACCTACGACCTAGGTATATCGATCCCAAACGGAGTGGGTTCGCGATCCAAATCACCAATATGTACGATCCTGATATTTTATGATATATAATGTTGTATAGTGGTAAAAACAATTTATTTTAGAGTTTCAAAATGAATTACGACTCAAAATACTGTACTAGCTAAGTCTACCCCCATCATATTGTATACCTAAGAAAGTGTAGTACCCGCCGTACCCATATCACGTACCAAAGCGACCCATGATTTAGGTAACATACTTTAAGGTTTGGAGTGAATGGTTATTTAACATGATATCAGGGCAGGAAATCCCGTGTTCGAATCTCGTCACCACCCTATTTATAAATTTTTTTTTCACGTGCTAGACCCAAAATCTAGCCTGCATGTGAGGGAGCGTGTTGAAGTATAAATATTTAAATTACACTATCTCTAATAACAACTTAAATTTTTTGAGTAAATGGTTATTTAACACTATGCAAAAAAAAAATTATGAATGATTTTGCATAAACACATGGATTATGATTAAGGAGTTATGGAAATTTGGTTTATGGTGGGTGTGGGAGATGGATGTGGTGGTGATGGCATGGATTGGGTGGTGCAATTATCATATATTCCTTTTGGTTCTTACCAAAGAAATGTTTTTGAAACCGACGGAAGTAGAGTATTTTATCAAAAGACTTGCACATCAAGTAGCTTAGGGAGAGACAAAAAGTATAGACAGAAACTGGGGAAATAATGTGGTGGTCATGCGGATTGATTAGCTGTCGTGGACAAATCAGTAAAGTGGGTGAAAAGGTTGGTGGATCAATTTTCTGGATGTTTTAGGTGATGGTGGTGCCTGATTGCTTGTGGTGGTGGCATGGTTGTTGTGGTTGCTATGACTGCATTCGGTGGCAATTATTGTGAAGCTGTGATGGTTTTGGTGGGTGTTGGTCAACATTGTGGAGTTGTATGGATTGGTGTAAGAAAGTGGCTAATGGTGACTTGATTGTGACAAATGGTCAATGGTCATAGTGATTGTTCCATACAAGTCTAAAGCATTTCCCCAAAACTAAAGGAGAGGAAGTTGTAATTGGCCATTTTTTGGCAAAATTTTGTTTTTGCTTAAAAAAGTGTTACGAGACTACCTTTATTTTTTCTCCTTCGGTTTATGGGCTTCCACGTGTATGCTAGACGCGGAGCTTTTAGTAATAGGAAATTTAGTGGGTTTGTGGGTTATGTATTAGGGAGAGAGAGAGAGGGGCGGTAAAAAAATGAGGGTAGCCAAATAAGGAGAGTCAGCTTTCCAATAGATACTGTATAACATTTTAGGATTTGGATGTCTGTTCTGATCTTTGATATGTGAGCTGCATGGTGTATCTCTTCATTGATTGTATGAAAAAGTTCTTTTCATTTTCTGTGTCTTTAGGTATAAGATCTTATATAATTAAGCATAATATGGGATTGTATCTAGCATGCACACAAAAGTGTGCACGAACACATAAAGCATAGATGCATGCATTTATGCCTATCTGCAATTTTGAAAGAATTGGATGGATCAATGAATAGTTGGCTTGCTCAGAAAAGACTTTCTACTAATATATGAAATTGGTGGCTGAAAGGATCATTGATACAGTAAATGTGTTCTAATCACTATCAAAAAGTGGTGATCCTGAAAATGTCTCCATGCATTTACTTTCTATTATGACACTTTATTTTGGAAGGACTTTTGCTTAACAAGGGGGTATTAGCCTAGTGGGGCCATTGCTTTGTTTAGTAGTAAATTGCTTTGGTTGTCAAGTGTGATATCGTGGGTTTGAGAATGAGACGAGACGAGATAGGTTGTACAAAAACAGGTAAAGGTTAGTTTTATGTCAAGTTGACTTCCGTTAGCGCCTTTTTGGATATTGGAGGTTGTTGAGTTACATAGTTGTTAGTATTGTTCGATACGTGATATATGATCGCTTACATTTTTTTTTGGATTTAACCAAAAAACAATGCCTATTCACGTGGAATTATTTTTTAAACACTAGGTAGTGAGTGTGAAACAACTTTTCACTATCTAGAGTCTTAAAAAATAAAAGTCTTCTTTTGTTATTCGTTCCATCGGAGGAGCAAATAGTTTGATTTTGATTGTTAAAAGTGTCATCTTTTGGATATTTTGGTTGTTAGAATTTGAACTCTCAAAATTTTGATATTGATGAATTATGTTAGCAACTTGAATACTTGGTTTATTAATTTTTTGTTTCGGTCCTTGTCATCTCTTTAAATTTTTTTATATAAGAAATTTGTGGTGTAATGAAATATTATTATGACATTTTTCATAGGTATGTGTATTTTTTAAAATTGTACGTTTCTTATGATACACGATGCACAATTTTTTTTAAAAATTATACAAACTTCCGATACATGTTTTGACAACTTTGGTCGAGTATCATTCTTCCTTTGTTGAATGAGTACATTGGTTTCATACTTTTAGGAGCATTACTGTCAAAATCCTACGATTCGGAATCTGATTCGTAGGATTCGATTTGATTTAATTCCCATTCGATTTGATTTAATCTCCATTCGATTCGATTTAATCCCCATTCGATTTGTATCTTACCATAGAATTATTTTTGGCCGAGAATCGCAAGAATTGTACAATTCGATTCTAATTGAAGGAATTGCACGAATTATTTTATTCTTATTTTTAATCCTTTTGCTAGTAAAAAGATGTCGTTTTGCTAAAAGAGGCCCACCGCCAAATGTAAAACTCGCGTCTCTCTCTGTATCTCATGTTCGCGTCTCTGCCTCTCAAGCGTTTGTGAACATCACACAGAGACAACATCTACATGTTCAAATCAGTATAGGCTTTTCCTATTTTAGTTTAACTTTATTGATAGGAAGACAATAGCTATTTGTTGGTTAAAAATCATATATCTTTCATCGTGACCATTTTGAGGGAACGATTTACTATGTATTAAGAAAAATAACATAAGTAAAATCTCATGTGTAGATTTATAAAGATTTATAAAGGCTAGCATATTTTCATTTAGACATGTGATCATGTCAATACTGTCAATTGATTATTTTTAAAATATAATAATATTCAGTATTTAATATCTTTTTTGGGTATGTAAAATGTATTGATACTATGCAAAAATACAACCACCCAAGTGGCAAAATTTACATTTGCAAAAAAGAGCAAGTCCAGTTCTGAAAATAGCATTAGTGGATCCAAAAGAAATCACAAGAGGCTAACCTTGTGGAAGTACTGTAGATGGCCAGAACTTCCACCAGATTAACCTCTATGCTATACATATCAATCAAATGAAAACTAAGAAAATCCTAGCCTCCAGAAGGATGGATTTGCCAATTTTGCACAAGCTGAAGATTGTGGGATGAACTTTTGTACTTGACAGTGAGAAGTTTGCTGTGGAGAGTATTGATGATCTCCTTGTAAATGGTTTTTGCATCCTTGAATTCATTTCTGAACACCCTCCACAAGCTATAAACTGTAGCCTGCAAGACACAGTTTTAAACTTACAGTTCTTAGGGATTTTCCTTTCCATTCTACTGCTAAATTTTGGATTAACTGAGGCCAAGAAAGGGGCTGCCTGGCTTCACCATTCTTCTGCAGAATTTTGCTCCAAATACCACCCGTGAATCTTGCCTATTTTAAACACGTGCATGCTATTTTATTTATCATTGTTTGGATTTTGTGTCGAATTTTACAATTCCCGATTCTCAAATCTAGGATTTCGATTCCCAATACGAATCTCAATTTGATAACTATGCATAGGAGTGCTCGTGGATTATTTCTCCCCAGTAAGAAACTTTTAGTGGTGTCATTAATCTTAAATATGCAGTGGTAGCTGATTCTCATTTTCTACCACAGGTCATAACTGATTTGTACAAGATGCACAAGCAATTGTTTTCTGAAGGCATTGTTAAGATACTTCTTGAGACTTTCTCGTCAGTTGCTTCACATGCCCACCAACTGAGCTCTCAGACGATTCTCCAGCTGAAGCTGCAGAGAGCATGCTCCATCCTTGAGATCTCTGATCCACCCATGGTCCACTTTGAAAATGAGTCTTACCAGAATTACCTTAACATTCTGCGTGACTTACTCGTGAATAATCCATCTTTATCCGAGGAGATGAAGATAGAAGAAGTACTTGTTTCCGTGTGTGAAGAAGTTTTACGGGTATACCTAGACTGTGCTGGGTTACAATTTGTTAAGCAGAAACCAGATAATAAGCCAGTGCTTCACTGGATTCTTCCACTGGGTTCTGCGAAAAAGGAAGAATTGGCAGCAAGGACTTCTTTAGTTGTGTCTGCATTGCAGATTTTGCATGGTTTTGAGACGGATTCTTTTAGGAGGTATGTTTCACAACTGTTCCCACTGTTGGTGGATCTTGTAAGGAGTGAGCATAGCTCAGGAGAAGTTCAGCGTGTCCTGAGCAACATCTTCCAGTCATGTATAGGCCCAATGTTAATGAGAATGTGATGCTTAATATAGGGATACAGTGAGCAAATGTAAGCCATCAAAGGTCGGTTCTATCTTTTTTAAATGGCTGAGCATTGGCCATAAATATTATCTGTATTTAAATTTTGGTAGCATATGCAGGGCTGAGTTTTCTTTATAAATATAATAGCAATATGCTGATTGTTAATATTGACAAACATCCATCCCCAAATTCCTCAGCTCTTTCTTTTGGCTGGGAATGGACAGTTCTTCACTAGAAGAATGGTGGGGAAATGAACAGTGTTGGCTTATCTCTGGAACCAGTAGTACCCACTTGGCCTCCGTGTTGCAAGGCTTTATCAGGGTCATTGCAGGGATTGTGATCTCTTGTACTCTGACTTCCTATTCCACTGGAGACGACAACGATGACATCTATGCTAACTTGTGCTTGGTTAAGTGAACATCCTTGTCATAGCGATGCTGAGTATGATCGCCATAGTAGTTGCATTCTCAAGGATTATTTACAGTTCGGTCCTCAGTGGAGTAAGTTCATTGGTGGAGCCTTCTTTAGTTTCTGGGTCCCGGCTCATTTGTATCTTTTTGCCTAAGGCTTGATGGGGAGAAGAGGAAAGCGATCAACGTATTTGTCTGGTTTGATATCCATTTCGATTACACTCTTTTGCTCTGGATAGCCATTAGTCTACCAAAGGGCTCTATTGCGAAAAACACGTAAAAAATCCTCTCATTTTATGAAGATTCATGTCAATATTTGATAAAAATAACAAAAATCAGACATATTTATATAATTTAAATTAAACGTGTTTATCATATCAAATTCAAATTATCTATATTTAATATGGATTTGATGTATTTGTTAGCATGTGTTATTTCTAAATTCATACAAAAAATTAGTCAATTTTAACTCATTAATTTTGCATGGAATTAATGTATAACATCCAAGTCTTTCTCCTCAATCTCAGGTGGGTGTGATATTTTGGCGGGGAGAGTGGTTTTATTTGCTCTTGGAAATCACAATAAACGTATCTAACAAATCAATTTGGGAAGGAATGTCAGTTTAAATTTGGATGTTAACAGAGTTGGATGTCGTCCATCTAAGTTTTTGAAGAGGTTTGTTTTGAATTCAATAAGAGGTTGGTGATGTGTAATCAATCATCTTAGTTATAAAAACAAAAAATAGTGAGATGTCAACCTTTTGTTACGTGCCGGAGGAACTTTCAATGCTTACGGATACTTGTCGTAAGCTTGTACATTTGATCCAAAAAAAGACCACAAAAGGTTTAAACATCATAAAAACTGAAAGAAGGCGGAACATGGGTACAGCAACATGATTTCATTTTCCCGAATTGCCCACTCGCTCTCTAATTTAATAAAATACTCAGAAGTCAAACGATAAATAAGCAGACCACAAGCCACAATTTCTTGGAGCTATTGGACAACAAAATCAAGCAATGAAGTAGCAAGACCAGAAAATGCAAAGGAAAAACTGCCATATTACCTTACGACAGAATTTGATATAGAGTTCACTAGCAACACGGGCTTTTGCATTGACTCCTAACTGCATAACCTCCATAACCATATGATTCTATTAATTTAAGACAATCGACTACACCAGAGGTTCAAGTCCTAGAAAGGAATTTTAATCATCCCCGAATGGATACATTAGCTACACATTGACAAGCTTCAGTATAAGCTTGGACTGCACAAGGGAAGATTTGCATTGCAAGAAAATCATCCCAACATTCTAGAGATCTGACTGCTCAAATGGTACACGCACAAACAACTGGCCATGCAGGGTAACCACAGCAGATGTCTGATGAGGATCTATCCTAGAAGGTAAGCTCACAACCTGGAAACAAAATCAAGAAAGGTCAGTCGAACAGCCTCGAGCCTACATAAAATGATACAAAGCCGTTGAACTGGAAAATGGGTAATATTCAAAGACCAAGACAATCTTTTTCATTCTACCAAGTCCCAGGAATTTATTCTTCCTTAGTAGTACATGGGTCACTCTCTCTCTCTCTCTCCAAGTTGTGGAGGATCAACACCTTTGAATATGATGGGTAAATCTCGGATACTTGTAGCCATTCGCAAGCCATAATTCTCAGGCAACCACACGACTTATACCTGAAACATCACACGAGGCACAATGCCCCCTTTTGAGCTATTCATGTATGTTTAAGTGCAGGGAGATACTGCCTGGTGGAATAGCAATAAACTCAGACAGACATTGATATTCTGCTTTCTCTATTCCCATTAAAAAAACCATATTCAACACAAGATCCTCTCCTGGCTGAATTCATTTTTTTGGGTACATAAATGGATATGCAAATATGTTACTCATTGTCTCTCAACAGCACAAAGCTATTTGCGGGAGACCTTACTGCACTTATGTCGAGGCCGAAGCTAAGGTCCCACTGGCACTGAAGAGTATGTTTAGCCCCATTGAGTTGTCATAACAATGGAGACTCGAACCCAAACATTGAGCGAATATATCCGAGTTCTTATCCACCGGACCAACCACATGGTTGGTCAAGTGGCTGAATTCATTACTCGAAGATAAGTTGTGCAAATCCAACTCTCAAATAAACACTACAGAACGAAATATTTGTGATAGCATGTACAAAATTATGAGCTTGGATTTCGTCAATACTTGTGTAAGATACACAACACATACCTTTTTGAAGGGAACGACTCCCCAGGGATTATCCAGTTGCTCTGGTTGACCAGATATAACCAAACGCCCCGCTGGATCAGACTGTACACGCACCTGATTTCATCAAATACCAGTCTGTTCAGAAAATAACAGATGTTGAAGCTACGTAATCGCAGAGGCAAGAAAAAACAAGTACTTATTGGCTAATAAAATCTTATGTGAAGCTAATCCTAAGTTAATCCACAGATACAACTAATCAGCCCGCCAAAACCCCCAATAATATCCCAGCCCCCACCCCAAAAGAAAATAAAAAAGAATAACTGAAGTGAACACAATCCAACTTAAAAAGATTAAAAGTTAATTACATCCACCACCTCCAAATATTAAGTAGACCCCCACTCTCCAAGATAATGTACATATATTAGTTACGTACAAATTACATGTAAATAATTTTTTTTTTATGTTGAAAAATAAATGACACATGCACACACACACACTCTACACATCAACATGATTTTTTTCAACAAGAAACAAACAATTTTATTAATAAAAAAGGAAAGCGGTGTTATAAGTACCAAAAACAAAGGTGGACAAGTCGTCCAACCCAAAAAGGCGTACTAGAACCAAGAAAAAAAGCGCACAAAAACTAGACCATAAAGAAAAAAAATTACAATCCAATAGTCGTCGTCCAGCTCGAAGTAATGCAAAAAAGAGGAATATTTTCAAAATCCTTTGTAACGGAAGCCCAAATAGATGCCAAAAAATGCATTCGGGCTTATAAAGATTCGACCTTCTGTTTATCTTCAAAAATTCTTGCATTCCTTTCTATCCATAGAACCCATAGAAGAGCAAAAAATGCATAATGCCATGTATAACATCCCAAAGTTCAAAACAATCCAGATTAAATGATTGCAACCATTCTCTGATTTGGGTAAAATAGGGTTCCAAATATCAGCTAGCACAATTTTTGTGTACAACATTAGCCACCAAATCCATGATTTGAGTTTTTTTTTGCTGCCCTCAAGGTTTATCAGTTCACAGTTGCAGATTGGGTTTCATAAAGCCAACGAGGGTAAATACCAGATCACAGGCACACTTCAAGCACAAACATTATTTGGCACACAATCTCGATACAATTTCAAAAGCTACTTGCATTATATGGTTGCAAAAAATCATTAAAGGAATTAGAAAACTGCCAGAGATTTTTGGCGTACCTCTTCACGCAAAAGCCCAGGAACTAAAGCATATACCTCATAGCAGTCTTTCTGCATAGCAGTTTTTGTAAGAATTAAATCTCCATGGGAAAATATATAAACTTGCAAGACTATCAAAGATTACGTGTATGTATACCATCAAATAGCATAAATGATGATGCCCTACAGCAGTGGAAGACAAACTTACGGTTCTCTGTACATTGATTTTCACCCAATCGGCAGGAGGGCCAATATCAACAACCATTATGTCCAACCTGCCACGGAAAGCAAAAATGATGGCTTCATATGTAACGACATTTTTAAAGTTCTATCACAGTTGATAGCAACATACAAGTTGGACAGTTCTTTGAATCTTACACATTTTCGAGAAAAAAAAAACATTTTCTAATCCATATTGGCTTAGAATTGCTAATACAAGCATGAGAACTTAAGTTATAATCAGAAAACACATGCTAAACTCTTCCAAGAATATAATGACTCCTATATAGTTGAAGGCAGTAGAAAGAAGTGATTCAGCGCGTTTAATAGCAATGATCAAGGCATAAGGAAAAAAAAGAAAAGAAAGTGACAGAGATCTTAACTGTGGTTTCGATGTTTTCATGCACACAACTTTGACAGCATGCTCAACAGCAGATGGCCTTTTACGCTTCAGCAAACCTTAATCATCAATAAAAGTAAGCAATTGAGAAAAAAAAATGCAGAATGATGTACTCATAGGGTATAGTAAGGTTTCTGACTTCTTGATGAATCATACCAATGCTTTTAAGCTGTTTTTCACGCTTTGGTGTAGAAGTTGAATTCTTATCCTACAAAACAAAATATCAGTTTATTTGAGAAAATATGTGAAAGTCACATTTAATGGGGCCTGGGGGACATAAGGAAACATGCAACAAGTGGACAAACCAAAAGGAGAAAGTTATAAGGTGTATAGTTTGGGATATCATCACAGACCTTAATAATTGGATCCCCAACCTCCCCATTGCCAAGAAGACGCTGGGAGTGCCAACCCTGCATTGCACGAGCTGCAGCATCTCTTCTTGCCCTACCTGATCCTGAAGCTTGATTAAGACCCACCTACATACAAGAATTTCTAAAGGATAAATCATGCACGACAGTGGTCAATCCCTAAATTTCAATAAAATTACAGCAGGCACGCCTTTTTTCGTGCCAGTTAAACCCCAAAAAAGTATGACCAGGCAGCATCAAGATTCACCCACATTTATTTATAATAAAACCGCCATAAACAGCTGTTTATTCAACAAATGGTCAGACAGCATATTTCTAAAGTTACGAGGTAAAACCATCAAATTTATTGAATGATACCCACCAAAACTTTAATGATGGTAAACGAAGCCCTGTTTTAATAAAATGATAGCATATAAATCAAAATAAGATCAGTCTTTTCTTTCATAAGATTCACATAAAATTATGTGGCTTTGAAAATCTTCATCTTCAGTTCATTATCAATACTTAGCATTCATAACCAAATATTATTACTACGTTATAATATTCTGTACGCTCCGAATTTGGTTAGCATGACATCCTACCTGTATCTAAAGGAAATTTGCATGCAATAATTAACCTATGAAATCTATTTTTGGAGGGGGTACAAAATTTGTGAGGGAGCATAACCCAGTCTATAATCAAATATATCCATTCTCTATGGGGGGCTTCAAATATCATGGGTACTTTACATTGTTGCTATATTCATGATTACCATTAAAATCATACAGGTAGTAAATTAAATAATTCTCTTTAATTTTTGAAAGTATTGAATCTCTCATAGTAAGGAGCCACTACCTGGTGCATTGGTGAGAGTGTCTTAATACCAGTGATTTGTGAGGCTCTTGGATCGAATTTGAGGACAACCACTTTGTACAAGATAATGCCAAATGCTAGATCTATTCTCAATCCCACCCATCCCAGCAATCCCAACTAATAGGGACCAAATTAGGTAATGATTGTTTTTACAAAATGTCACAAAGTACATCCAGCGATAATTTGAATTAAATAAGTACTAAAAACTTTTCCAACCAATATAAGCAACAAAATCACCAACTCACTTGAATGCAAAAGTTTTAAAATCTAACTCTATTCTTTGCAGTCGTAGCAAAATTAATTGCAACACAAGGATTATTTAATTGGCATAACATACAAGCATTGAGCCCTTGATGTGCAAGTGCAACCAGTCTACCAAAAGCAGGAACACAATAATAATGCTAGAAATAAGAAGAACTTTACCTGTTCTTCAAGCTAAAACTAAGTCCAAGCAGCATATTTGACAAACATTCATATCAAATCACCTGATTCTCAGTACTGGCAGGCTCCATAAAAGAAGCATCAGTGAAAGGAAGCTCACCGCAACGCATTTTATGCTTTTCATACTCCAGTAATGCCTGCAAAGGCCACAAACCAGCAACTCCAGAATGCAGGGATGGTAGAAAAAAGATAACCAAACTAACATTCAGCAAGACTCCAATAAAAAAGTTTAAATGGGTAAGATAAGAGTCAGTTCAAAAAGATAATTATTAAATCAAACCAAAAAGAGTTTTGGCATCTAAATTGTTCCATTGTTTTCTAAAAAATGCATCAAAGGATAAGGACTCTAAGCCCATAAGGAAACCAACATAGACCTGTTTAATGCGAATAAGGTGCCTCGAACTGGTTCAAAATATGAATTTTGAATTATAGTGATCCATCAAAATTCTTATGCTATCTAGAATAAGACAGACAAGCCAACTTTGTTTTCCAACAGCTGCCAACAAACTGATTCTTGATTAAGGGTGTCAACTGATCGATTTTGGTTTGGTCCCATACATATCCAAAATCAGAACCTATTTAACAGTCCAATTTTCTTTCTGGTCATATATTCATTGGAACAAGAACCATAAATGCCTGGTACCTGCTGGGTTTTATGTGACGTCCATAAATAGTATTATTGTAAATATAACAATATATGTAAGACACGTGTCAGAGACAAATTTTGTAACAAAAAATGGAAAGATTAAATAGCCATCTGGTTACATTCATAGTGATATTGTTTGCAAGGAGAATTATTCCGATCTCTTGTAAAAACCTATTATGTGGGACGTCATTCCTAAAATCTATTTTTCAATTCGAAGTTTTATACGAATACTTTGCAGACCTCAGAAACTTTTTGGCAAATAACAGAACCATTTCAGCAATCATTAATGATGTTCGGAATTGGAGCTACTTATGACCTCTCTTAAGACTTACATTCACACTCTTGTCCTCTTACCAAATATCCTCATCTTTGAGGGCATAATCATCCTTGGTCATATTATTTCTTGAGGCATGCTATCCTATCATTAAGCAAAAGCATCCTAGTTGAAGTTCTATATAATTCTCATTATGCTCCCACATGGCCAGCTGGACTATTTTTTGTTGATAAGAGTGATGTTGTTGAATTCCGTAGTAACTGATGCCCAAAAAGAAGCTATGAAATGGACACGATTACACAACCCCTCGGGCCTCAACCACTTCATATTTATTCTCAAAAAATCTTGCATCTCTCTCCATCCAAATCATCCACATAGTAGTAAAAATTGAATACTCCAAAAGAATGACTCCTTTACTACTCCTTCAAGGACCATGAAAATCCACACAAAACATAGAAGCAATAGAACAAGGAACCACCCAAGAATCTCCAGCCACCTCAAAACATTTGTTCCACAAAGACCAAGCAATCGAGCATTGTCAAAATAAGTGATCCAAACTCTCCCAATCCTTTTTTGGAGCACATCATTTGTGTTAATCTTATCGTGATGCACATACTTGCACTTCTAAAAACACCTTGGCCTTCCAAATTTTCAACAATGGATAAAAGATTGGCGTAGAAAAATCATCAATCATAGAATCAAAGAAAGATTTACAAGAAAACACACCAGCAGAATCAAGGATCCAACATCTTTTGTCCACAGACACATGATGTAAAGATATGACTTAGCAAAGAAAGAATACGAAACCCAAAATTCCAAGAAATTGCATAAGAGTACGAACCAATTGTTAAAGCGATCCAAACATGATGATGGAACGAAAGATTGCAAAGACGAGGATATAAACAATCCAATGATAACTTCCCAATCCACAAATCTTCTCAAAATCGGACTTTTTTCCCATTATCCATAACAAATTTAGTCCTCTGTGAAAAAGGAGGGATTAAAGGTAATCCCTAAGAGATGAATTTCCATGGGTTTTGAAAATTATCCCTTTCAACCCCATTAGCATCCCAATCATTAGCCTGTAAACCATATACTTAATTTTAGTTAGGAGAACGTTAATACGTTAGCTAGAGTTTTGGGATGTCCGGTGGTAGGTTAGCCTATTAAGTATTTGGGACTTGGTCTTATAGGTAACCCTTTATCTATTGGTTTTTGGAATCCAATTATTGAGAAAATTGGGACAAGGTTGGATTGTTGAAAGAATTTTTTATTTCTAGACGAGGAAGGCTTACATTAGTTCGGTCGATCTTGGCAACCGGCAAGTATTCCAATTTATTTTCTCTTTCTCTCTCTTTTTAAGATGCCTTTTTTGGCAGCAATAAAGATTGAAGGAATGGTGAAGGTAAGAGAGATCATTTGATTAGGTGGGTGGTTGTGTCTAGACATAGGATTAAGGGTGGTCTTTCAATAGGTAATTTTCAACACTAGACCCTTTACTCCTCTAGATCTATAATCTTCAATTATCTCATTTCCCTAAAACCCAGCCACAATATCACATAAACTCTCCCTTATCCTCATTGATAAAACTTTTTCAAACACTTTGTAAAGACTAATAACAAAAATGATTTGTCAAAAATGCTTAATCCTAAGAGAATTTTCTTTCTTCGGAATTAGGCAAATAAAAGAAGCATTACTGACACCATTCACCACAACATTCTGAAAAAAATCTAGAAATACTAAAATTAAATCTTCTTTCATCACATCCCAATACTTCGTAAAAATAGTCATTGTAAACTCATCCGGCCCAAAAGCTTTATCTTTACTATATTTAAAAACAACCTTCTTAATTTCATCCTCCTCAAAAATTCTCTCCAACCAACTTACATTCCTCTCCTTAATAGGACACCATTCAAGACCTTCCAATCTAGACCTACATACTTCTTGGGCTGAAAATAGCATAGAAAAGAAACCAAGCACCTCTCTCTCAATATGATCGTCCTTTTCAATAATCACTCTATTCTCAAGTTCTAACTTATTAATAACTTTCTTAAGCCTATTCCCATTTACCACCTTATGAAAATATTTTGATTTACTATCCCCCTTCTTTTACCCACTTAACCCTAAATTTTTGCGTCTAACTAATCTCATCTCTAAACACAATCTCTTCAAATTTATTACTAAGATCTCATCTCTCTTATCTCAAATCTTCATCTAATCCCAAAAGGTCATTGCTTTAGACCCCAATTTTAAAGGACCTATATTTTTTACATCTCTATAATATATCCCACATTTAAATTCTAGGTTTTGTAAAAGTCCAAATCCAAGAGAAATAAAATCTAACGCTAGATCCAAAAAGTTGATCAATAGTTACATCTGATCAAAAAAACTGAACGATATTCATTTCACCTTTCATTTTTTTAGGAAAAAAATATTTTTGTTGAGTAAACCATACACAACTGAAAACCACATTCAACCCACCCTCTCCCTATGCGTGCGTATGTGTGTGTTTGGGGCTCCTAAAGAACATATTTTCTAGTTTAGGTACTAAACTAATACAATATATATTATCCATATAACTTATAACAGTTGCTTCACACAAAGATGTTTGGAAAAAAAAGGTGAAGATCAAATGGAAAAAAAGGGGGACATCAACTCTTAAGTTATTTCTTAGGGTGGCAAATGGGGGAAGGAAGAAGAAGCTCATTCATTGGAAACCTCTAAGTGTTGAGGGATTCCTATAAATTGCCCAATGGATTATGAGTTCTATTTGGTCAATAATATTTCATAGAGTTTTATCTTTCTTTTTCTATGTCGATTCAAAGTTGTGTGTGTTCGATACATGAAGAAACGATGACTTTTTATGTCCCCGTTATCGTTACCGCTTTGTTAATTGGTATCAAATACTTCATTGAGCTCGCATGATTGTTGATAAGCAAAGTGGAGGCAATTTTTCCTATGACGAAGATGAGTGGAATACCTATTGCAGATTCAAGTGACGATGATAAGTGTGGAATGCGAGATATAATGGAGGACGTGGTTATGAGTCTAGAAATCTTTGTATGAAAGTTGACCTTCCAACTTTTGACGTTGACCTTCATATAAAGATTTTCTTAATTGGTTGATCAATGTTGAGATTGGAGAAGAATGAGGTGAAGAGTGATTTTTGTATGCAATTGGGATATGTCCCCGAGGCTAGATGATTTTTCAGTGACGGTATTTCAATATTATAGGGAGATCATTAAAGATGACTTGATGAAAGTGTTTAGGAAGTTGTGAATGTGAACACTAATGCGACATAACATTTGTTTAATCTAAAAAAACAGAATTTTGTGAAAATAAGTGATTTTAGACCTATAAGTTTGATTACTAACCTTTATAAAAATTTTAACAAAAGTGTTGTCGGGCCGATTCGGAGAAGTCGTGGGAGATGATAATTCTAGACATCAAGGTGCATTTTAAGATTGATTTTGAAAAATTATAGACATTACATTAATAGCAAACATAGTGGTGAAGGATTATAGGGCTAATGGTAATGAAGGACTGTTCTTTAAGATTGATTTTGAAAAAATTTATGATCATGTAAATTGGGAGTTTTTTGAATTTGTATTATATGTGAATGGATTTGGAAGTAGATGGAGTAGATTGATCAAAGAATGTTGTGTTCAATGATTAGAGGGGGTAGGGATCTTGTGGGGTTTCTCACTTGTAATTTGCAAACGATACAATATTCGAATGTGGTGAGTAGAGGTTTTCCTCAATGTCCTTGAAAATCTATTTCATAGGATTTAGACAGTTTCAGGGAACATGTTATAGCAAAGATCAAAATTTTGTTCAAGTGAGTTTTGAAACGAAACGTTTCGGTAATGTTTTGAAAACAAGATGGAAACAAATTTTTTTTTTTAAATTTGTTTCCGAAATATTGGTTGAAACATAAGAATTTTAATATTCAATCAATGATTTGTTTTGATTATAATCTTCTAAAAGGGGGCTGGAATATTAATTTCTTTAGGGTGCTGAATGATGGGAAGTGTTGGAGCTTTCCTCCTTGATGTCTTTAGTCCAACCTTTCTGGGCAACTCCGGGGGTGGGAGATAAGAGATTATGAATCATTGATCCATCAAGTGTTTTTACTTGTAAATCTTCTTCAAAAAATTGACTGGCACACATTTTCTCCTATTTTTGCACCC